CCCCCCCCCCCCCCCCCCTCCCCTTTTATTTCCAAAAATTTAATCAAAACAAAACACAAACTGGCTATTTTAGCTAGGTAGGACATTTTTTTTTCAATACCTAGATAGTTTGTTAGGCATGTGTCATGTGTGCATGACCTGATTGACAGCCTAACATTAAAATATGGGCTAAACTCAATACACTATACTAATTAATCAACGGGTCTTTGGTCCAATAGTACTTCTTACTTTGTAAAGATTTTATTTTTTTTGAGGTAAAAAATTCAAACCCTCTTCTTCTTCCCCTCCAAAAAAAAAAATATACTAACTATATGAATTGTCCTCCACCAGTTAGATTTCTGTTTCTTTTCTCCTTATAGTTTTTGTTTGTGGGGTGGGGTGGGGTGGGGTGGGGGGGGGGGGGGGGAATACACTGACTTCCAAAAATGCAAAAAACAAACTGATCAAAGACCATTTTGGCCACAAATTGCACATGCTATGAGAATAACATCTTGACCCACTATAACCATAATGAAAAATTTAAATCTATTGTGTAAAATTATGCATATGATAGATTTATCAGATGGTTGAATTACCATTAATCTAACCCCTTGAAGTTCCTTAACGGTTTTGAATTATAACTAAGATTAACATATCACACCCATTTTAAGTGTTGAATTAAATTATATATGGTACAAATATGACTATATATAAATATAAAAGAATTGCATATTAAATAGACGATACGATACGACTTGCACACGACACTAAACCAACACAATGTCACCTGCTATCAACCCCTAAATAAGATCTAATCGTATTCCAATTGAGGTGAGCTTTAAAAAAAAAATCAAAAAAATCACATGCCTTTCTTCCATCAAATTGATGTGACATAAACAGAACAACAAGTACTATCAATTATTTTAATCTGAATTCAAAATTTAAAGATGTATCTAAATATAACTAATCTAATCTAATCTTATATTATCCATAAGCTTCCCCATTGTCTTAGGAGTTAAGAAATATCTAAAATTAGGCTATTTAGCTCCATTGTCTCTCCCACCCTACTCTCAGGTCAAACCATTCATCTCTCTCTCTCTCTCTCTCGGTATTTCCCTCTCTTTTTTCTCTCTCTAACGGAACACGGTATTGACGAAAAAGGCGATTCTTTTTTGAATTTACAAATTGGGTTTAGGAAATATCCAATAATTGCAGATTGGACCAATCAAAAAGTCATTTACAAACAAGGAAAGTAAAATACTAAAATAAGGAAATACCGTCTCTCTCTCTCTCTCTCTCTCTCCGCGTTCACCCTCCCAATCCAAGGAGAGAGAAAGCAATCATCATCGAAGGAGAAGATACTATTACTCTGATATTTTTTGTTTGTTTGATTCGTCCTCCGCGGAATTCATTTCGTGTATACGTAGATATATGCAAATCTGTATAAAACCCTAGTCGTCATAGTTGTGGCGGAATTTTGAAATCCAATGTATTGGTCTCCGAAGAGACCCCAAACGACCAATTGGATTGGATACACTTCTCATTCTCGATCTTCGAATTGCGGTGGTGGATCTGATCGTGAGAAGATTGCGGGTGGGTTAATAGGGGATAAGTATTATTGGGATTGCGGATTGTGGTGGTGTTCAGTTAGAGTTTTGGCCGTCGTGGAGGGGGACGATGCAGCTACACTTCTCACCTAGCATGAGAAGTATAACGATATTGAGCAGCAATGGGGTTTCTGACTTGATGAAGGTCAAGGTCGCTCGCCAAATCTCTTACCGTACACTGTTCCACAGCATCCTCATCCTCGCTTTCTTGTTGCCGTTCGTCTTCATTCTCACTGCGGTTGTTACCCTAGAAGGTGTCAACAAATGCTCCTCATTCGGTAATCCAAAATTCAATATTCATTTTCTCTCCATTTGCATGAAGTATCCATTCACATATTCTGATATTTCACTTCCATATATATATCAATTCATATGTGGATAATTATTTTTTTATTGATTGGTTACCCAGATCTTAAATTTATTACATGCCTTCGTTGATCTTCTTGGTTGTTGGGATTGTTATTTGATTCAGTATACAGTGGATTTGATTTGAATTGGGTTAGTATTCTTCCATCAGAATGCTAATTGGTTGAGAGGCCGGAATTGGGTTTGTTAGACAGAAAATGATATTAATTTCTTTTACTCCATTTGGAATGCTAACTAGCGGATTAAGATCCATGATATTGCCATAATTCAAACTGGAGCATGTTTAAGTGTTTGGTGATTCTATTGCATTAATATCGTTACACCGCACATGCGTTGTGGTATTATGGATTTAGCTGGACATACAAATGGATTGTGGTTTGATTTTTGACTATGTTTTTGGGCAAGAAAAACAATTTTATTTTTAGAATGTTGGATATGCTTAATGCAGATATATCTTAGAGAAAATATTCCCAGTTAGGTTAGATCATATTTGTCCGGGGTTATGTTTTCTTTCTATATTCTTATTTTTCCAAGGTCTTATTGCGATGAAGACTTCGTTTTAGTTACTGGTTTGGCCAATGAGTAAAGTCATAGGATTAATCAAAACATGATTGAGCCCATTGTATATTTACATGGTTGACAAGCGATTTAAGCTCATATTTTCTCCCTTGCTCCTTACTTCCCTTTTAAAACTGGAATTTATTTAAATCATTTTTGTAAGCTATTACAGTTTTACGAGTGGGTGCTTTCATTTAACTTTTCAGCTCTTTGGTGTAATTATCTCATGCCTGTGATTCTTTTTTTTATATATTTTTTTGGGGAGAAGAGAGGAGAGGGGAGGGGGAGGGGGGACTTGATCCTTGACCTCAAGAAGACAAAGCCTTTATAAGGTAAAGAGTACCATTAGACCAAAGGTCCATTGGTGCCTGTGATTCTGTCCCACCTACTTCCCCCTCTTTTTCTTTGATCTATTCTCTTTCAGGGTAATGAATTCCTCTGTAGCATGTTCTATTGTACATTTTTGTTGGGAATTTTTTTACTTACTTTTCGTAGCCTGCTCTCTATGTTTTTTGACGGGTTACTAACTTGCGTGTGTAAGTGTGTTTAATGCTGTATTGTTTATTTCTGATGTTGTGATAACATTTTTTTTTTGGTTCTTGTGTGCTTGCTTTCTGTAGTCCGGTTTTTGTGTATACATATGTTGTTAGTCAAGATTGTCTATTTTCTTTGTATTTGCAAATATGTTGACCTATTAGTGGCAATCTTGGGTTTCATTGTTTGCTTTTTATGTGCTTCAGATTGTTTAGGTAGGCGATTGGGACCAAGGCTTCTTGGTAGGGGTGATGATACAGGGGTAAGTGTTACAATTTATTTTATTTTATTTACTGTTCAATTTCAATTTTAAGTTTTAAAATATCCCACATGTTTTACCTTCTTTTATATGCAAACAATGTGTTAATTTATGGTTTTTTCTTCCTTAAAACCGAATGTTTGTTATGTTTGTGTTTCAGCAGAGACTGGTTAGAGACTTCTACAAAATTCTCAATCAAGTGAACACCGAGGAAATCCCAGCTGGCCTAAAGCTCCCAGGGTCATTTAGCCAACTTGTTTCTGAAATGAAAAACATCAAGTACAGTGCAAAGGAGTTCGCATTGATTTTAAAGGGCATGGTACATAGCATGTTACCTCACTTATATGTGTAGATATAAGTGCATATGTAGAAATGTTTTGCCTGGTGTGTGTATATGTTTTGAATCCTACATCCCCCGCTTCCCTTTTTTCATGTATATTTTCTTTTATGGCGAGGTTATTGGAAAACTAAAGTTTTTTCTAAGTATTGCAAGTTCTAGTGTGAGCTCCTTCAGATTCATAAATTTGGCTGCAACAAATTCTTTGTTAGTCTGTTCACTGTTGGAAAGGAAGAGGATTCAACTTCTGGGAGTAAAGATTTTTTTGCCATTGACTGTTATGGCCTTCCGTTTGAAGTACCGCAAAAGATTAATTATTTTAAAATATTTGAATATATTAATTTGATTTTTGAAGCAATTTTTCATCCCTTTAGGTAAGTAAAAGAAGGAAATTGTTTGATTTTATTACTACGGTGCATTAAGTCAAAATCTATTTAGACTAAATTATTATGAAGAGGAGAAAACTTCACATACAATAGAATATGCCAATGAATGAGATTTATTAGCCCATGCAATGCATTGAGGATAATGGTGTACTTTTTTTCTGATAAAAAAAAACTTCAAATTTATGATAGAAACAACAGGTATAAGCTAATCCTGTTGTTGTCCTTTCCTCAATTGGGTTAAAGTTTACCTTTCTCTGTCTCTCTAAACACACGTATGGTTATATATCAATTCTAATCTCTAATTATAAAAATTGGAACAGATATTTTTGCATAGATTATGTCATCTTGGCAGTTAGATCAAACTTCATTGGAAAATCGGTAACTTGCCTAATTTTGGTATGGATCTACTCTTTGTTAACATGAGTGGGGCATTTTGCCTTACTTTTAAACTAGATCTTTTCTGACACTTGAAGTAAGAAGGAAACCTATTATTACTTTACAGAAGGGTAAATTACTCTGTTCTCCCTTGAAGTTTGCCCGTCGCTACACTTTAGTCCATGATGTTTGCATTGTGGTTCTTTAACCCCTAAATTTTTAATTTATTTTTAATGGTTTAATCTCTAACTTTGAATTGTGCCAATAAGGGGACACTTAATGGGAGGGAACTATGTCCGGAGATTGATTTTTGTTCTGGAATCCTCTTTCAGTGTGCCCATATAATCTAAGAGGCGTATTATATTGTGATAGTAACATGCTTTGAGATGGTATCTCTCTACCCAAAGGCAGATTGGTTTAGGAGATTCCTTGTGATTGATTATTGTAGTTTTAAATTCCTATTAATTTTCAAATAACAGCTACCATCGGAGAAGTTCCTCAAATTTGAGCATTATTTTTAGTGTATTTGTACTGCAAAATTGTGTGTTTGTGTGTGTTTGAGGGGGGGGGGGGGGAATGGAGTAAGATTTTGTGATCATCACCTTTTTCACCACTTGCTTTCTTTGAGAAGAGGAATCATGCACTGTGTGGTTTGCTCTTACAGTTGTAGAGCTGGTGTAAATTTTCTTGATATCCTAACAATTTTTATATGCAAAGAGACGTCAATTTTTTTGATATCCAAACAATTTGTATATGCAAAGAATTATCTTTTGTGATTTTGCAGGAAGATTCCCAAGATGATACATGTTGAATATGTATGGTATTATTTGTTTTTGTGGTGTGGGGGGTGGGGGTTTGGAGTCCAAGATTCTGTATAGGCTATAGCCATCAAGAGGAAAATTGGTGTAGTTTTTGGGTTGCAAAAGGGTCACCCCATAAATATAGTGATAAAAAGATATCTTATAATAATTATAATTAAAAATTGGAATTCTTATTAATTTGTAGATATGGTAGAGAATTGCATAGCCTTTAGCTTTTATAGAGAAGTCAACTTATTTGGTATTGATGAAACCTCCTTATTTTAGCTTTTGCCATAAGTACCTCCATATTCGGCTAAGTAGGACATGAGTTTGAAGGCTCTTCCGTAAGAGAGAGCCGAGAGATAGAGTAGAAGTCTTGGAGAATCACTATTAATTGATACTCCTGCTCCCGGTATTATTTGACGCCGTTCCGTATATGAGCCTCTTCAAACGGGGCTTGTATTTTTGTGTACTCTGATATATCTATCAGATATGCATGAAGGTGGCATATAGAGATAATTTTGAATTTATACTTGTAAATTACCTTATTGTTGTTTTATTTAGGTTTATTAAAAAATGAATGTTAATGCTGTTGAAATTGACAATGTGTTACTTTTGATGGTAGTTTTGATTCAGATATGGGCTCCCCCCTCACCCAACCAAAAAGAAGAGAGAAATAAATCCCTATTAACCAAAATTATAAGCATAGTATTTGGTACATTGGTTTTGAACCCTGTCATATGTGAGTCCCATGCTTCTGTCATGTGAGGAACATACTTGAACACATGCCCTTCTATGTGCTTTCATGCACATGCCTCTTAAAAAAGCCGAGATGAATTTACATTTCCTCTATCTTCTACATTTCTCAGTCATATTTGAATCTATTTTACAGCTAAACAAATTTGGTTTTGCTCACAGTTGGAGAGATCGGAGAGGGGGATCAGGGAATCAAAGTTCTCAGAACTAATGAACAAGCACTTTGCGGCAAGTGCCATTCCAAAAAGCATCCACTGTCTGTCTCTTCGTCTGACTGATGAATACTCTTCCAACGCCCATGCACGCAAACAGTTGCCTCCACCAGAATTATTGCCTTTGCTTTCTGACAACTCATATCATCACTTTGTATTGTCAACGGATAACATTTTGGCTGCCGCAGTTGTGGTCGCTTCTGCTGTCCAGTCATCTGTAAAGCCTGAGACAATTGTCTTCCATGTTGTCACGGACAAGAAAACATACGCAGGCATGCACTCATGGTTTGCCCTGAATCCTGTCTCTCCTGCTATAGTTGAAGTTAAAGGTATTCATCAGTTTGACTGGCTAACAAGAGAGAATGTTCCAGTGCTTGAGGCGGTGGAAAACCATTATGGGATTCGGAATTATTACCATGGGAATCATGTTGCTGGGGCCAATCTCAGTGATACAACTCCAAAAAAATTTGCCTCAAAACTGCAGGCTAGAAGCCCAAAGTACATATCATTGCTCAACCATCTTCGCATATATCTGCCAGAGGTAATTGGAATTGATGATTCGTTTTACTTGTTTAGTCAAAGAAACTTCAAATAGTCTATTTATTGTTTGGATTACAAAGGGATTAGAAAAATGTAACACATGTTTCTTGATAGTTGGTAATAGTGATCATGTTTTTCACAGTATATTGTGCCCATGCCAGGGGTAGAATTGAAGGCTCCCTCTCTCTCTCTCTCTCTCTCTCTCTCACACACACACACACACACACACAATCTTGTAGAAGCAAGACACATTTTGTGCAGTTTCTTCACCATTCCCATTATGGTTTATGCCCACCATTTGTCCTCTGTTTCTCCATTAATTTCAGGTTATCAAATGACTGGTTCTTTTTTTGTTTTTGCTGGCCCTTGAATATTTTGAGCTTAAAAAATTGAGTTTAATAGTAAATATTCTTTAGGATGACATTTGTTGGCTTTACCCATTGTTGCATTATGCTGAAAAGGCAGTGTAAATTGGTATCAGAGCTATCTTGTTCTACATCAGGGGTATAATGGACATGAAAGGCAATGATATATTACTTCAGAAGCTTGAAAACTTCCAGGATTAAGTAAACCAGCTAATTGGCTTATCCATCTCACTAGCGAGCTTTTGTTCAAGTTATTGTTGAATTGTACTCAAGGGATCTTTGTTCTTCTTTCAATTTGATAACTGTTACTATATACACGAGTCATGGAGACAAGTATGAGCTGAACTTAATACTGAACCTCAAAAGGTGATCAAGCTTGGCTCCTTTATCTCGTGAGTCAATCTTGAATCAGCTTTGTATGGATTACTGTGTACACACCTGAAATTGGAAACTGTTATGGGTGTTGTCACATAGTTGTTCTTACTTCTATTTGCATTTCTGTCTAAACTAAGTGCTGCTGATGTTGTACTGTGCAGCTTTTTCCAAACCTTGACAAGGTTATTTTCTTAGATGATGACGTGGTAATTCAGCGTGATCTGTCTCCTCTGTGGGATATTGACCTTGGCGGAAAGGTTAATGGAGCAGTTGAAACTTGCAAAGGTGAAGATGAGTGGGTAATGTCCAAGCGGTTCAGGAACTACTTCAATTTTTCCCATCCCCTCATAGCTAAGAATCTGGACCCTGATGAATGTGCATGGGCTTATGGAATGAATATCTTTGATTTACGTGCATGGAGAAAGAAAAATATAAGGGACACTTATCATGCGTGGCTGAAGGAGGTAAATTCAATTCCTTTATTGTCTGGCTGTAGATAACTTTGCCTTCTCGTCCTTTCCCATGGCTACAAAAAACATCTTACTTCTAGATTGAATGACATTTTCTTATAACTGCAATTAAAGAGTTGCCGTTGATTCTGTGTTTGCCTTTGCCCTCATGCAAACCTGATCACGGTAATTCCCATATTTGTTTGTGTGGTCAGGTCTAATCATGTTTATGGATTATGTTGTGGGCATTGGGGGTCACTGGGTAGGGGACACATAAGTCCTCAATGAATTAATCTCTCAGAATTAACTGTGTTCAATGCTTCAACTCATTGTATTCCTTGTGGTGTGTTCTTTTTTCTTGTATAAGTATAAACTAAATAAAAACAGCAGAAGAAAAAAAATTATTGTGAAGATTGATATTGACCATTCTCATGTTTTTTGATTATTCTGTGATATCTTTTTGACAAGTATCTCATGTTTTCTGTTTTCGGAGAGTATACAAAAAAATGTGACATGTAACGGGTCCATTTCTTATCATGATGTGGAATCTTGCAGAATCTGAAGTCAAACCTGACAATGTGGAAGCTTGGAACTTTACCTCCAGCTTTGATTGCATTTAAAGGTCATGTTCACCCAATTGACCCTTCGTGGCACTTGCTTGGTTTGGGTTATCAGAATAATACCAGCATTGATAGTGTGAAAAAGGCTGCTGTAATCCACTACAATGGCCAGTCAAAGCCATGGTTGCAGATAGGCTTTGAACATCTCCGGCCGTTTTGGACCAAATATGTCAACTACTCCAATGACTTTGTTAGGAATTGCCACATATTGGAGTAGTGGTAATCAGTCAACTACAATTGCTGAAACAACACAAATGAGACAAAAGACCGAACCACTAAGGGGTTTCCTCAAGTCGCTTTTGCTCTACAGAAGTTTGTCAATATATATTTGAGTAGAGACAAAATGGATAAACATCCAACATCTTGATTTGCTGATGTCCCCCATCCCACCTTTCAAGGAAGAAGACCTGCATCACTAGTAAATGCAGGAGTTATATTCTTTCAGCTGGTGGCATAGCAGTTCATCATCTACTTTTTGCTTGGCAAAGGGGACAAATTTTTGGCCTTCCTGATGGGGTTTTTTTCTATTACAAGGTTTGGTAGAAAATTATCTTAGCATTGCCCTCTGTCATTCCAATCGGTGCATGGAAGAAGTTAGAATGCAGGTCCTTGTAAGGTTCCCACTTTAGCCCAATTAACCTTAGAATTGATTTTTTTTTCCATTCAATATCCCCCCTTGTTGCTATTGCTCTCATTTTTTTCCAGCTATTTTTGATTCTATGTAGTTATTGTGATTTTTAGGTGGTAAGCCATGGATATTTCTATGATACAGTTCCCTTTGAATTGGGGAACTGTCTTAGGTTATATGTCGGTTATTTATCATAGACAATTCATGAGAAATATTTAAAATGTGCAGATAATTCTTTTTCCTCAAATTCCTCTTAGTTTTATTGTGTGTCTTTGCTCCTTACTATTATGTGGTCTTGTCTACAATGCTACCAAGTGGGGCTGAAATAAAATTTGCGAGTGAAAACTTCTGTTTTATTTCTTTCTTATTTTTGACGAATAGAAATGATTATATATATCGAACAAATTTTTGAATGTAATCTTCGTTGCAAGGTCTGTGTCACCTTTTGAAGGGTTCTACACAGGGACATCCACATGCTATGGCGGCGAGGATTTTATATTCTGACTAGCTGTCCAAATGCTTATAATGGACAAAAAATAATATGCTTGAGAAGATTTCTTTATCTGATTTATATGCTGCTATTCTCCTACAGGAGGGGTTTGATTAACAATATAATTAATATATATATTATTGTATATGGTGTTATTTGCTAAGTTGGCCATGACAATGAAGTCCATTAGAATTGGGTATTCTGATACTTACAATGTGGCTGTTTCTTGGTCCTTTTATACTGGACTCAATGATCCTTTTGGCATTTTGCTTTTCTTGAAGATTATGTTTCTTCAATAATTTAATTGGGTGGTTAGCATTGGATTGGTCTGAACTTGTGGCGTTTTATGACCTTTTTTGAGTTTGATTGATTCTTGCAAATCTACATTGCAATGCTTTGTCTCGGGTATCATGACAATGTTGTAGTTTTTCCATAAAACATCAAAAGATTATCAAGTGCTCTTCTTGTTGAAACTTGGCTCCGACCTACATTGTTGGATTAAGCAGAATAATATGATTATGCGTGTCGGTATAATGATGATATAACGTCAATATCATCATGTGATATCATTTTTTAATAATAGTTATAAGGGTAAATATCATAATTGATCATTAAACTTTACCTCCATCGAGTTTTAATTTGGTCCTTAGATTTTTTAATTGTCTTAATTTAGTCTTTCAACTATTAGTTTCATCTTACTCAAGTCTTTCCAACTATTTCTACTGTGAGATCAATTGGAGATTAGCTTAATTTGTACCGTGAGATCAATTGAAGACTAACTCAATCTGATCTATTTCATGCGTTAAATCATATGTTTCGTTTTGATCTGACGATAAAAATAGGCGAAATGATTTTTGAGAAGTTAAATTAGGATAATTGAAAGTTCATGGACCAAATTAAAATAAATGACAAAATTTAAAGACAAACTATGATATTTATAACAATTTATTATACTACATGAAAGGATACTTATTAAATTTAGTAATATTACCTATCGAAAATGGCACGATATGATTCTTATACTAAATAATTTTTTGAAGAGTGGAAAGTGGGAACTAATCAGTAGGATGCCCGACCTAAATGATGGTCATCCTTTTAGCGGTGATAGCACCACATCCTTATAAAGAAATTGCAAGCTATGGTCAACACTTTCATTACTAACCAAAAAGTGAAAAAAACAAAAAATAAAAATGAAAAAGTGAAACCATAATAACTAATTACGTGGGCATAATCACCAAACATCCTTGTGGGCTGTCCATGAAATGGAAATCCATTTGACCCATTCATCTTGGTTGGTGCAATGCTTACTGTTGGACACTTTCACCTTAGTTTTTTTTTTGCTATTTAACAAAAATGTAAGAGCAAAAAAGTTCGCTCAGAGACCACCTTAATATATTTTCACTAGTAAAATTAAGAAATTTTTGACTATACTTGTTATTCATCTTGAAAATAAATTTAATTAGACTAATATAATGATTAATTATTAAATCTAAATATAAATTTTAATGCTCAAACTTTCAACTTCGTGACGATGAGAAGTTCGACTAAATATCACGCTTAATCACTCCACTTGATCGTCACTTTCACCTTAGTTTACATAAGGGTTGTTAATGTCAACAAAATTTGGCGTCACTTTCCCATCAGCTCATCGGTCTTCAATCACATGAAAAGTAGGAAAAAAAAAGTCAAAAATGAGAAGGGAGTCCACCCTCCTATTGTTAAATGGATAAGTATTCAATACTTTTTAAAAGTTAAGGGTTATACAGTTGGGACATATACTAGAGCTCTATTTATTTGAGTTCTAATAATTTATATTGGGGGGTAAGAATTGAAGATCAGATCAATGATTTGATTTGTTGATGTCGATGTAAATATCAATTTTTCTATCATCACTTATTGTATTTATTGAAAGTGGTAGGTTCAAATCTCCTGTCCCTAAGAGTGTCTAATAAAAAAAATTATAAAAATCACCCGGCTACTGTACTCTACAATGGGAAGTGAGACAAATGAGTTGTAAGTTATAATGTGATTCTTTACTAAAGTCTGTTGTTTTTTTTTTGCCCCATAGGCTGAAGAGGATTGGGAGGAGAAGGCAAAAAGGCGCACAAAAAGATGAATTCATTGATTGACCACCGAAAGACATCGAGAACTCCGAAACAGCCTGGTGTCGGGATTTCTTTGATCTCTTCCTCTTCTTTCTTGTTACTTTATTCATTACAGTATTTATCAATTTAATACGGTATTTAATATTGCCTTCTCCTAGCAATTGGCTTGGCTTTTTGAACCTTAAAGAAACTCTGGAAACGGAGGAGGAGGACCCAGATTACTTTTGTGCCAAGACAGACCAACTTGGAAAGGTTTTCTTGTATCTTTGAGCGGAATGTTTTGATTTTTGATTCATTTGCTGCATACCCATTGAAGAAAGTAGGACATGACCACCTTTTCGGTGGTTGTTTGACTTTTGATTGATTCCTTTCCCCCGGTAAGTAATCGGATTGATTTTTAGGTGACCCAATTAGTCATTTGAATGGATTTCCTGAATCTTGGAATATATTTTGAGGATTTGGTGGTTGTATTAGTTGGAGTTTTCTGTCGGAGATTCTACTCCTGGGTGTGTGTTTTCTTGCATTCAAATTTTTTTTTTTTAATTTCTTCTTTTGTATTAATATTGTGGAGTGGATCTAGATACTGTTTTTGGGTATGTAATTTTTTATTTCTCAGAGCCCAATTTTATTTTGTTTCTAGACTGTGATTCCTCTTTTTCCTACACCTCCAGTTTCTCATTCTGTTTGTGGTGAAGCCTGCTTTGATAATATTTCTCAAAGATTTTGTTTCATTTTATTAATTCATTCTTTCATACTACAGAAAGTGAAGATATTAAAGAATTATAGACCATTCTGAAATTTTATAATTCAGTGGTTATCCATTTCTCCAAAGATTGTGGCTTTGGAGATTTAACACTTTTGGAGTAAACCCAACTTAAAATCAATCGTGGGTGTTTGAATACAAAAGAGTCCGAGAATTGGAAGATGTCTGGAGTGCAAGATCAGCTAGAGATCAAGTTTCGCTTGACTGATGGATCTGACATTGGACCTAAAAGCTTTCCTGCTGCTACAAGTGTTGCAACCTTGAAGGAAAGCATCCTAGCTCAATGGCCAAAAGGTTTGTTGCGTCTTTGATTGTGTTTTTGCCTTGTTTTTTATTTTCGTATGTGATCTCAGTGTTTGCATGTTTTTAGTTTTTATTGAAAAAGTCGTAGAATTTCTTTTAATGGTACTAGAAGTAGGGTACAAGCGGTAGACCTAAATTAACATCGAACGAAATAATAAAAAAAAATATGAAAATATTTAACTAAATCAGCGTATAACAAATGATCGAAATAATGGCGAAAATGGACTCATATAACTGGCCCCAAATGATTGGGATATTAGGCTTGGTTTGATTATTACACTGCTGATGAGTTAAAGCAAGAAGCCCGAGTATGAGATCATGGAAAGTCCCAGCGAAGAACTGAATTTGATGCATTGAACTCTGGTATAAGTTGTATACCCATTATTGAGTTAAAGTTCTAAATTGCAATGCTATTCTTCGCACAGTCGCATCTTACACGCCCATCTTGAATGATATTTCTGGAAAAATTGAGAAGGATGGTCATATAGTTTGAGATGAAATGGAAACTTTCATTCACAAGATATTCATCATAGCTCAATTTGGCCAGTGAAATGGAAACTTTCAATTGCTTTCTCCTTGCTGTTGAGCATCCATCATTAGGGTGCAACCATTTGAGAGAAGTCAATACATATTTTTGAGTGATCCTGCATATGATCTTTCAATTCAATGAGATAGACTAAACTGAATGATAAACTGTTGCTAGCTATGAAATTATTTTACACTATTTGATGCTGAAACATATGAATTTAGCACTGCAGCCTATGTTGGTTCGGTTTGTTCATGGTTGTTAAATGGGATCCTTTACAGCATCAATGGGTTGCCTGCTGAATCAAATTGTAGAACAGGATGATGGTATTCAAAATTTTTACAAACAGATATGTGTTCAGAGTTAAATATGTTTGCTTGATTAAATAGGTTTAATTTCAGTGGAGAAAGTAGTGAATATTTGTGAAATTCTACAAAAATAGTCAATTACAATTGAACACACCTAAAGAAGAGCATAATTCAAATCTAATTTTAGCATAGCCTGATAAATTCATCATCATGAACAATTAAATTTCGATAAATCAAGAATGCTTACTGTAATTCATATTTCAATAATTTCATGAATTTTTGATGGAATGAATACAGGTTAAAGTACAATGCGGCCTGGGACTTGGTAGTTTAATAACAAGGATCATCTTTAAAATCTACTTTTCTTGCACAGTTTTTCAGTGATCGTGACTTTCAACTAGAAATTGGTTGTATCGGTTTTACGTACTCATGAGTTAGACGAGTGACTTAAAGAAATCCTTTAAAGTTTTTGTGATGATAAACTCTTAAATTCATATTGTCTCGTACTAAGGCAGGAGTTTGTTAAAGTGGTTTCTTACCCTATGTTATCTCATAATCTCACTTTCGGCACACCTATGGCCAGTAAAGATATTCTCACTGTGCTACTTTAATTGAGATATTTTGGTCACTTAAGAAAGATGTTCTTAATATACTAGATGTCTGAGTACTATGATAAGTATTTTCCATTGGAAGGAACTTTAAATATTGATATACACCTTCTGGGTGCAGTAGATGTA